CGTAGTATATTTTTAGCCTTTGATTTTTTCGGAAATGACAACCCCTTTTTCTTTTCCAATACAATATAGTGTGTTTTATAAACGCGCTAAATAGAGTGTTGTTTTAATTTTCCATTAACCACTACTTGATATGAAACTTTGAATGGTAGCGTCCCAGTTTACCTATGTTTGCCTAATATTTGGATTATTTTAACAGGTGTAGGTCTGAATTTAGGAGCAATAAAATTTACACAGTAAGAATTCAAAATCCACAGTTTTCACGTCATTCACCATCGGTTTTTTTGTTAAATAGAATATTTTTTTCATTTATTCATTAATATGTGGAGTATTATTTATGTATAGCACTTCAAATGATTTTTTGCTCGACTGGAATATTTCAGTTATTTGAAAAAATAAAATTTATAATCAAACATCGGTACAATATTACAGTTACTACGGTGATATAAATGGAAAGTAAGCATGATGGTTAAGTCTTTCAAATAGTACATTTTTTTCTATTTTTAGTAATGCAACATTTCCCGAAGTTGTTAAATCACTGATAAAACACACAAAATAAAAAATTTGATGGCGCTTGCAGGACCCAAAATTGCCAAAAAGCCTTTGGCCGTATAAATTGATTCCAGTCAAGCTGAAAAAAATTAATAAACGTATTTGTAGAAGCATCTTACAACATTGTCATGAAAGTTACTACGTAGGTACTGATTAAAATAACCATTGAAGAACAAACAGATTTTAATGAGATTTTAGTAATAAAAATGCACTACAATCTACGGGCACTACCCACATAACCACATAAAAAAGTTTGTTCAATTTGCGCATTTGTTGCGTTTAAATTGTCCTACAATAGTCATAACACTGGATAAAATACTTCAATTTGAGTTGTTCACTGATTACTGAGTGAGGTAGTGCGCCTAAATCCCTGGCTTGACGGGCCCCAGAACGTGTCCATGATGCTGGCGATGGAGGTGTTGAGGAAGACGAGCTGTTCGAAGGGCTTCAGCTCGGGCGTCTTAGATACGGCCTGGGTGTAGTCGGAGATGGCTCGTTTGACGGGGTCGCACACTACGACCAGGAGTTTCGTGGAGGGATTCATGTGCTGCACCTAGCGCCAATAAACAGATCAATTTCTGCATTTATTCCGTTTGATTTGTCCTACAATAATTACTATCACACTATCTTTTCTGATAGTTCAAGATAAATGCATAATTTTTCGGCATCAGTTTTTCAGAGAATATACTTGAAATGTACTGAAACGCGATACTATTTGAATAATATTTTCTCGATAGAGCAGGAGACGCCAATCTCCCCATTTAGACCACTAGACCAAAGTGGAGGGTACGTGAACGCAAAGCAACAACTAATATTGGTTTTTACTTTAATTGCCTAAAATAGCGAATTTGTCCCTATGGTATAGTTTGTATAAAAAACGGGTATGGGCGCGTACAGAAGCGGTCAAAGTACCGGCGTAGAGATTAGCTAGATAAGCAACTCTATCCAGAAGACTCAAGACTTGGTTGGGTAACCAACTGGACTTCGAGCGCGGTCGGTCGGTACTGGGTTGTTACGGATTATTATGTATGTAAAAAAAGTGTGTATTTTGCATTTTTCATTTGTTTTTATTGAAATAATAAATTATTGAAATAATTAAATTAGAGTATTTACATAACTTAGTCTTCCTTGTACAGGCGCTCATAAATGTCTCGTACATGTAGTGACCTGTGAAATTTACAAATGCTTGCAAATTTGCAACTTCTGAGTAACGGTAGACATTTTTACACTTTTAATTGATAGAAAATGTCGTCTTTCAGAATAATCAAGACATTGAACTTTCATGGGCATCTCGCAGTTTACACACTCTAAAAAAAGCGGACCAAATCAGTACCCACTTGGATGTACGAATCATTTCTAAAATACGTGATGAAAATTGGTTTACGTTAAAAAAATATATATCGACGCCACAAACTCTTATTACAAGATTTTTAAAATCACTCCTAAAATGTAGAGTAGATGAAAACTTATCAGTCTGTGTGAGGATTTTTATCAATTGCGTTCCCTAATATTTTATCAAATTGATTCTAGATTGTGGAAATGCTGTATGTACTTCCTTTTTTATGTGTGATAACTGATAAGTAAATATTTGTTTTTTTTTGTTTTCTTTAATTATGAACCCTAACGCAATTTAAAATATTTAGGTTAAGTCAAGTATCTTTCTGCCTTTTTAAACTTACAGAAAGTTCCACTTATCAGTCGCCGCTGTGAAAGAGGTCGTTGTTAGCATAACTACGACGTCTTAGGGAAGTTAAAGGAAAACATTTCGCAAGTCTTGTATGAACTTGTATTATCGTGTCTAACAAGCGTTTTATAACTGAATACATAACAACAATATTCTTGTACTACTAGCAAATGCTGCACCATTCTAGTCGCAATTCTAAGACCTGCATAAGCTACAAAATTTTAGTGTTATTGCGTTCCATCGCTATTTACATATCGAAAACCGAGCCGAAAGCTGAAAAAAATCATCGTATTTTAACCGAGGAGATGAACCCTCCAGTGACATTATTGACTGATCCGTATTAACCCGCTGTAATAACGGTCGGCAATCGAACCAAATTAGATCAAAAAATGTCCGCCCGAATGAATCGGTCATCCGAAATCAGGGCTCGGCGCTTTCGATTAATTTCCCGCATGTTTGCGGCCGAAAGTCGAAAATAATCGCCGCCCCCACTCAGCCGTATCTGAATATAAGTTGTCGGTCGGGGTGCCGTTATTGTTTTAATTAACCGAATTCATGTCTAAAGCGAATGTCTTTTATGGCTGCATCGAGCCCGAATGTTTACTGCTTTTGCACTGCGGCCGGTAATCGAAATGCTATGTAATGCTGCATAAAGATAAATGGGGGTGCAGTTTACCTAACCGCGGGGAGTGACGCCGGCGGCGTTTACTCCGCCGCCACCACACCACATCCTCTGCTGCCGCCGACAGCCGAGCCGCCCTTCGTGTGACGGAATGCGCACCAAACTAGATCAAATTGCTCACTTGTTGACTTTGCTCCTGGTGATGTCTTGGAAAAACAAACAGCGCTTTGCATTTTTTCGGCGGATGTATTAACGGAGAGAGGTTTATCAAATGGGTAGGGGATGCGGAAATTCTTCGGGGAAGACATACAACGAACGAAAATGAAAGCGTCGAGAGGGTTGGCGAACTTAATGGAAATACATGGTGTGCTAAGTATCCCAGATTTGCTCGACTTCTTATTGCGGAGAATACTATCTATATTCGAGGCGGAAGAACATTTTCTTGGATTGGTAACTTGTATGCCAATTAGATCGCTGTAGCTGAGGTTAGTTGTGGTGGAGGCATAACAAGTATTATGTCTGTGGATGGTTGAGGCATCCCAAATATGATTCATGTGGGTAGTTAAGTAAAGTAGCGTTGTATGAGAATTGCTAAGACACCTATACCAGTATTACTGACGACTCATGAGGAAACTGCTTCATGCTATTTAACTTTTAAAATGCGATATCAGGTGTACCTTTTTGATGGAGTACTGTATAATGGATATCTAGGGGAAGTATTGTTTTAAGGTTGTTATTTTGAAGAATGTTTAATTTCGAACGTCAGACCATTTTACTGTTTGTCTGACAATGAAATACATACTTATTACCAGTCTGTGACTGTGGGCGGTCAGTCTCCTGCCAATTTTAGAATAGTCTTTGAAAATGTTATGAGATTCTAAGTCTAGGTTAACTGTCAGAATATCCTATTGTATATCCTATTAAAATTTTGCAAAGTAAATTCTACTTAAATTTTATAAAATAGGATGTCTGTCCTTGTATAGATTAAAAAAAAATGTGAAAGTACAGTTTAGAATTGAAGTTGGAAACGATACTGCTCTGAAATTTTGGAAAATGTTGCAAAATTAATTCATTAAATTAAAATAATAGCAAAAAAAATCATTGATCCATTTTTTATTTATTTAAAAATTTAGGCAAAAATTGAAGACGTGTTGTGATATTTATCTCCATATTTTGATAGTAAAATGTATGTAACTTCAATCGTTGCTGCTATTACTCCATTATCAAGTTTAAAATTTTCGGCCATTTGCGCAGTTATTTTTATTTAATTGCTTTAATATAGATCGTCCATGGAGATAGTGGTTTTAGGATTTTAATTTTCCAAACCCCTCGTTTGCGACGAAAGAGCATCTTAACTGATACCTCGAAACAGATAAGCCGATCCAGTTTATGAGAAGCATGTCTGTCAAATATAACAAAAATGCCTTTACCTAAGTTTGAGGTAGTGTCCTAAATTTGCATCTAATATGCTGTATTATTCGTTGACAATATTGGCTAAGGAGTCCCAGTCGTAAAACCACTGTTTTTGTAGATGCCCTATAGTTGGTAGCTGTTAAACAACCAATTTATTAAACGCTCATCAATTGTATTGCTACTCGCGAGTAGTAGCGTAGTAAAAATAATTATCCTTACCCAGTACGGAAAATTACAATATTCACCTGATTTCAGGTACCCGATTGTCGATGAAGAATTTTTTTTAAACTTTGAAAAAAAAGTTGCTGGATTGAGAGTGCCTAAAGAATTTGATGTTAAGCGCTGATACACGAGTTCTGGGACACTCGTGTATTTTACCCTCGAGCAAATCCACTTGAGCGAGAAAATTTTGATGAAGCTTTTATTAAAATGCCAAGACTTTAATAAATGCATGTTAGTGGTAGTCGCTAATGAGAAACAAATTACTTCATTAATTACTAGTGTTTTAAGTGGCAGTTACAAAAGTTTCTCTAGTAGAAAATGTTGTTAAAGTAGCGAAACGCATCAGCGACCCGATACCTACGAGTATGTTTTTATTCTCCGTGGATGACTATCTACTAGGATTCCATCTCGATACATACGTGCTACCTTTTGTCGGCGGCGAGTCGCGTTTTCTCGGTATAATTGTGTTCGCAATAATTTATTACTTAAGCCGTTTCTGTCTTGTTCCAGGTTCTTCTATTTGTACCACTTCTCGTTCTACGCTTACCACTATCGATTCAACGGCCAATACAGCAGCCTCGCTCTAGTCACCTCGTGGCTCTTCATACAGGTAATTATTCTTTCCATTTCAATAATTAATCGCCTTCGGCAGTTCGCCACTTCGCCACTTCTTTTCCGCCGACTTATTTCACGGGCTCGTGAAGCGTTCACTTTATCGATAAGGGCCAGGGCGTGTCGGAATCGCATCAAAATTCAACAGCCGACCGGTTGTTTTTCGCAAGTGCACGCCTGCGGCTGAAAGATGTATTAGGAAATATGATTTTTTAATAGTTCCAACACGTCAGGAAGATTGCGTTAGATAGCGGCTTCGAGCTCCTCTTAAGGGTTCGACACCCAACTTCTGCTCGTTGCCAATTTAAAAGTTCCGTCGTAATTTTGTACCCGCATAATTGGATGTGTCTAAAATTTATTTTCTTTAAGTTTTGCGCCCGATGTCGACGGAAGAGCTTTATTAAGCGAAACGCCGCTTTTGTACCGACATTTCGTACCGACGACTAGACGTGTTCCTCACTAATGCAATTAATGCTGGTATGCAATGAAGCGTAAAGTTGTAATTAACATAGTAATTGTGGAGTTACCTCTGCTGCAATGGATCCTTTTCTATCTATATATTGCAAACTTTCGAGAGGAATTATTATGAAGCATGATTGCATGGCTTACCGAAAGCTGTAAAATAATAGCGCAATTAGTTACATAGATTACAACACTTGTTCCAGCGAGGAACAAGGATTTGTGTACTTTATTATTTATTTTCGTTTATAAGGTGATAACATACAGCAGGTCAAAAAACTCATGTTGTGTACATTTGAGATGAATAGACAACTAGTAATAAATGGATAACTGATTTCAAAAATTCACAGAAAGAAGTTACTTAATTAAAAAGTTGTTTAATTTAATCACACATATACTTCACCGTTAATACTCTTACAGATTCTAAAGCTGCGCTATATAATATGTCACAGATGTATTGTAACCGTGACGGATTACTTGATAAAATAGTTTTCTTCAGTTATGGATAAATAAAAGTGATATAAAAAACCGGAAATGCTGAAAACAGGGATATAACTACACAAAAAAAAATCGCGAGTTTAGTTTAGTCCATAAACTTGTCTTTATGAATGATTTTTGACATATACCCACTATTTGGGACACAACAGCTAGTAACAGCATTGCCAGTTTACTAAGGACACGACAACATTTTTTGGGCTTATTGTATGACAAATTTGACTGCCACATTTATTGTTCTTAGGGCCGGTTTATCAATGCGCAGTTAAGTTAAAGTAACTGGCAGTTAAAGCTTGTCTGTGAGTTAACCTGTTTATCATTACCCGCTAGCTCAAAACTGGTGGTCAAAGTGCCTGCTAAATTAACTGACAGTTCAAACTGTCAGTTAAAGCGTTATCCACCAGTTAGTGGCAACATAACCTAACAAATCCAAATAAATCTGTTATGAATTTAACAATATTTTGATGAGGACTTATGTTGTGCAACAAATTGACACAGAAAAGATGAGAAAAACACTTATTATTAGCTGATTATTTTCCAGGTCTAATGTAGGTACCAAAAATTAAAAACCTATCTAATAATACCGCGAGATCGAAAAAGAAATTAATCCAAGTAGGCCATGCACGACAAGCCGTTTGTCGTAATCACGGTGGTAGGGTAATTTAATTTTTTTTATTAAATGTCAAATTGACAGTTTAAAATTAGAATTATGACGCCTACTTTTAAAACACATAAGAATGAATTAAAATCACCGTTTTCCAATTTTGTCTAAAATTTATCGCATTTCTGAAGATTCTAATAACAAAAAAGCTTTTTAATTTCGTTTGATAACAGTGCAAATTATTTTTGTCAACGTGACGATTAATAAAAAATTATTTTAAAATAAGACAAACGCCTTTTCGTGCATGGCCAACTTTGACTAATTTCTTTTTCGATCTCTCTGTGTTTATTTATAGGTGTACCTACTTGTTTCATTTTTAATTTCCAAAATTTTTTTTCTAATGCTAAATTTTGGTTTTTCATGATTGATCACGTGAAACGCGATATACAATCGTTGAATACCGAATGCGGATCGAATCCGATGGAACTTTCAAGGTCGGGATAGTTTTGAACTGACCAATCACAACTCATTTCCAGTGGTGTGAGCGTTACCAACTTAAGAGAGTAACAGCTAAACTTCGAGCTACGCAACTGGAAGAAACATCGTGCATTGATAAACACTTCACCTCCGTTAACTGCTAGTTACCCTTATCTGACAGTTACTTAACAGACACTTTTAACTGAGCATTGATAAACCGGCCCTTAGAGTTGCTGATGTAGAGACGAGTTCGTTTTTTGCTGAATGACATCACAATCAATTTCACTGCTTTTTGCGTACAGTTGGTAGATCAACGAATCTCGCGAAATTAATCAGCTTTCTTTTAACGTTGCATCAATACATTTACAAATCTTTGTATCTCTTATTTACTACTCCTATTTAGTTTAACTTTGTGTGTTAAACAAACGACTAATTTTGATTTTGTTACGACTTTGTATTGAAGAAAAGCTTTTGGCAATAGAACTACAATTTACACTGATACTAAAATAATAAAATGTTCCATTAAAAGGTTATAACCACTGAAGCCTTATTTTATAAATCGAGCACATTTTAAAGAAATTTGCATCTCACACCTCTGAATTTCAGCTTTATTAATCTGTAAAAGAAGAACATTTATTATTAACAAAAAAAATAGTTATTAAAAATAAATGAAAAAACTTTCATATTCAAATTGCGTAACGGACTGTTTAAAGAAGCAGGCAACATATGGGATAATTGGGATCGGACTTAATATAATGTCAAATAAAATGACTTTCCTGTAACTATAATGAGAACATTAAGCTTCAGCGAACTGATAAATTGTACATCGAACAAGTTGTTCTGTACTTTATAGATAAAATAAATTTTAAAGTACTCCCTGCGGATACAGAATTAAGCTGGTCCTATACAGGTCGCTAGAATGTATGGAAACGGTTAAATATCTTGAAAAAAAATACAAATCAACTGAAATTAGGTATAGGGATATAAGAAGCTTTGCTGTAATTATTCGTCAAAAAATATTTTTTTTTGCTTCATTTGTTTTCGGGATGCAAGGCCAACTTGATTTTTTTTAATGGCACTACAATATAATTAATGACTTTTTGAATGGAGCTTTTTTTCTGAATTCATTAATATAGCACACTTATACATACACTTTAGAGCACAACTTCCTCTGCCCCTAGAGCTAATTTCAGTTGATTTGTACAATTTTTTTTGAAGATATTTAACCGTTTCCACACATTTCTAGCGACCCTGAATATAAGACTTATTATCTACTATTTTTAAAGACGGAGGTTTAGAATTTTAGAGAAAACTTTTTAGTGGCCTTTTGTTAACAGTCTAAAAATTTTAATAAGTTTTAAATTTGTTCATACAGGGTGATCCAATTGGCGGAGTTATATAATATTTTTCAAACGATATACCATTGTTTTATAAACTTTTTCAACTTACTCCCAAGTAAACTTTAGTTCGATATCAGGTTTAATACTAAAAATATTTCTAAAAGAAGAAATTTGTTGTGAAGAGAAAATTCGCTTAAGAGATAAGCTCCAAAATGTTACGAAATACGAGGTGGTCTATTTGAATAACAGCAGCCCGATGTAAAATCAATAGTCGCTTATATAAATGTTCTTTGATAATGACGGCATACGACATGCATAAATAAATTTTAGTTAATGTGATTGTTTAATTCGCTTCTTAGTTCTAAGACAAATTACAAAATTTCAGTTGTACTTTTTTAAGATAAACTGTTATACTTCTCTACTGTTTGCAACTCCCATAAAGTAGAAACTTTGTGCACTGGGTTTTTGAATGTCCAATATATTCCTGTCTTAGTTGACCGTTTGTTCGTCTGGTAAATGTGGAAGACTTATTTATTTACCTAGATAACTTTTCACCTGACAGTGCGAAAACCATTTTCAATTATGGTCATAATATTGTTACGAAATCAACCCATACGCCGCCCCGGTACGGCGCCTATGGGTTCTAGTATGTACGGGGATGGTGACTCATTGTCGGTGACAGCGGCCGGACAAGAGCCTGGAAGGGGAAGTCGCGAAAGGGTGCTCCAGACAAGTCAAGAAGCGGTGACGGAGGCGTTTCTAGAAGGACCGCATGGCTCTTTAACTAGAGGCCACCGTCGGAAACGATTATGATTCAGTCGAGTCGAGTTCAACGAGTGTCAAGAAAACCCAGTCAAATTGCCCCGGAATTATTTTGTATGTAGTCGCTCTGTAATTGGTCGCGTAAATCCGAGTTACTAAGAAATAAATTGTTGAGTTTAACCCACGGCGATCTTAAATTACCGATCAACGTAACAATATGTTAAGATTAGGAGAATTAGAGACGGGTTCATGACTTACACTAGACATATTTTTTATAATTGTTTTCATAAAAGTTGTAGTTTTGTTTATAATATGATTCAGATCGAGAAACAGTGTCTTTATTATTTTATTTTCCATCAAATGTTGTTTTCAATTGTAAACCTAACAATTGTAGCATCCCTCCAAGGATTTTATGTTATACAGTTCTATTCAATTCTATTCTATTGAACTTCTCTGCCGTCGTTCTGTGGATTTTATTAATTGGGTAATTTAATCCAAGTCTTATTTTTAATCTAATACGATCTATGATTTTCATGGAAATTACTTGAAATTAACGAGTTTTTGCCATTAGAAAAAATCGTAACTTTTACTTTTTTACATCCTGCTTAAGAAGTTCTTAGGAATTCTCAGAAGCTGAATGTTTTACAAAGTTGGATGTACGTACGAAGTCTTATATTTTTTTAATCCGCTTTGTAAAATACTGTTAACTCGGCAATCACTCCTCCTTTTAATTGTGACAAACTCATTCGAGTTTTGCTAATTTTAAGACGTGCCTAAATTTATTGACTCGTGAAGACATTTCCCCGACATATCAAGAATAACACAGTCGTGAATTAATCAACCCCTCCTCATATTTCGATCAGT